GCAAACTTGAGAATCAGCTGATATCCGACTGGTCTCCCTGGATGACCTTATTTATAGATCTTGATTAATTTACTAAAATTACTATTTTCTTTACATGAAACTTATGGTATATTTACACTGAACGTCTTTTATGATAAATCGTAATTTAATCGTCGTTCAAGTTGCCATTTCCTTTGTCAAATAAAGATGTCTGAAAAACACGTTTGGTGTAAATGTAACCTTACTTTGTTAAATCAATACCGTTTTAATTTTAAAAGTTTAGTCAGTTTTTTATACGTCATCCGGCTCCTTTTTAATACAAATCAGCTGATAATTATTAAAAGCTAGGGTTGCATAGTTTGATTTATAGCTGGTTATTGACATCAGCTTTTGTAAGTAATTCCTAAAAAATATATTTTTAAATAATAAATCACAAATACTATTAAACAGCTGACTATTTTTAGGGACTTTTTTTTTTTTTGATTAATCGATTTTATAGTTAAATTCTAAAGTGGAGTACACCCTACAAAACAAAAAAATAACCACAAAAAATGGAAAAAAAATAAATTCTAAAGAATTTATGTTTCAATTAATAATCTCTTTTTTGGAACGGTATAACAAAATAAATGTGGAAGTGTATATATAATTCTGTCATTCTAATTATAAAAACCATTTTTCCCTGGCAGTATGCGTTAAAATTTTCACAAAATTTATAATTCCACGATTCATCATTTGTTAATGACACTTGACCAAATAGTTCCGTTTATATATTTGCAAAATATATCTACACATGTAGATACAGTATAAACATTAAATAAATGTCACATCGCTTACAAAAATATGTAACTCAACATGTGTGAGTTACAACAATTTACATAATTTCCATGATATGAGGACATTATTCTTTCCCCCCTCGACCATGTTTGTTTGTTTTTTGGCCATTTAAAGTATGTCAAAACATCCATCATTGTAAGTGGCTGACAGACGGACTGGCTAGCTGGACACACCATCCATGAACGATGTCCGTAGTCAAACCGAATGAAAACTCAACTTGTTTTTCTGTGTCAAATGAACCTCTGATCTAGGAGTTAACAATTACATTGGGGCCAAAGCGCATTGCTACAAATAACCCGACGTTGATATCAACAAAACGCTACAAATGTACGGGCTAGCTGCGCGGCAAGGCAGCTGATATGGACAGATACAAGCAAACTTTAGACAACCGAACAGAACAACATCAACACCGGCAAACACTGAAGGACCAGGAAAATAAATGCGAAAAACAAGACGAAACGCATGTAATTAGATAAAAACATTTAAGTCCACTAAGATAGGATCAGGTTTTTTTACCCCCATGCCCAATGTGTTTGTTTATTTAGAAGGCATAATGCCTTTAATATTGATAAAAAAAAGTTGAAGAGAAGAAGAACATGAAGATGAGGAGACCAAAGGCCAGAAATAGGAAAATTAAAAAGAAAAGAAAATCATAGAGTAAAGCTTAAACAACAACAACAACATGAACAACGTACTGCAATGATAAGTTACCTGATGAACAACAGGTAAAGTTTGGAAAGAAAATGAAATTTTTAAATTCTGTATTTTTTCCGTTGGTAAAATGAAGAACAAAATGTGATTATATAAAAATTTTGCAGACAAAACGCTTAAAGGCAATAAGTTGAGGATGTAGTTTGACAGATATATAATTAGGGTAATAAAGTTCTCACTGCCTAATTAAAGTCTGCAAATTCGATCAGCTGTTTAATGTCAGCTGAGGGAAATTTTAATATTTTTTATTGAGGAAATCAGCTGGTTTCAAAATCAAACTAATTTGTTGAATAATCTTTACCGGAAAACTAACTGAGATAATATTTCCAACAAAAGTCAAAGAAAGTCATATTTTTTTAAATTTAATAATTTTATTTTCATTATATCGAACATTTATGCTCCTTTTCTATTGCATATATTTCTAACAAACTATTGAAAACCCAAATCCATCCCTTATACATAAACTAGTCCTCAAGGTTTAAATCTCTATTATGGTTATGAACAAAGTTTTTTTCTTCTATTTGTTGTTTAGTAGAAGTGGGAGAGAAATATGAAAACCCCTTGGGTTGATACAGCACCAAAAAACAAGTGCATAACTGTGATATAGACCAACAAACGGAAGTTTACATTGCGCAGGATCTGGTTTTCATTGGTTTGGTGGCGGTTATAGTCATTATGACCGAACAAGGTTGGCCGAAAACCATACACTTGCACATAACTTAATACAGGATCAACCATTTAGAAAATGTTTTATATTAAAGTCCCTTGGCAAAAAGGGATAAAAACGGAACATTCAACAAAATTTCCACCAAAAAAAGAACTCTAAACAAAACTGAAATTAAAGGTCTATCTGCATTTGTCCCCACAAAAGGTATAAATGATACAAAATGGAGATTGTGGCTTTGTGTGTTGGTGTGTGTGTGTGTGTGTTTAAAACTTTGTGTGGATACACATTGTGTTTACCAAGGAGTCCAATAAAACCGACAAACACACGTACGCACACACATAAAGTACAGCCTCCCCAAAGTATTTAAGATTGCGTGCGCGCGTAAAGAACAAAAAAGGAAGAAAACGACCGACCGTCCGACATGAAAAACAACAACGCCAAACACCAATGTCGAAGAAGAAGAAAAAAATCAAACTTGAAAGAACTTCATTATGGACAAAGCAAAGCAAAACGTGAACAAAAAAGTTACTTAACTTCTGTATCTGTAGATGACTGCATGACTGGCTGCCTGGCTGGTTGGATGTATCCAATATCTGCCATCACCCAGTCCGCCAGCAAGCCACCAACCAACCATCATCCCATTCTTTTGTATTCCTATCCCTCTGGCATAACACACACACACACAATTTTGTACACCTATTGTTTGTTGGAAATTTGTTGCTGTATCCATATGTATGTGTTTGTATGTAGAAGTGTGTGTGTTTGTATATTTGAACCACCACTTCTATACTCTTTGGTATCTTATTAAACGTAGCCATCATGTTCTTGTGTGTTTTTAGCAAAAGCAATGGTGGCCCCACCACCATAGAGGCAGAAAAGAGGAAAAGAAACTGAAAAAACCCAGCAGGCTTAAAGCTTTAACATTTTTAATAGCCACGACTACCAACAACAACAACAATTCATACATACATAGATACACAGCAGCAAAGTCAGCAACAACATCATAATCATCAGCCCAGTTGTATATAAAAGAGATAAACAGACAAACATACATACATATCTACATATATATAGATGTAGATATATTTACTACTTGCATACAGTGTTGGAAAAAAGTATGTTTATTTTTAAAGTTATGATTAATAAACTATGCTGAAATTTGAATGGATTTAAAGAAATGTAATAGTACGTTTACATTGTACTGCATTGCGTTAACCCAGTATGTTTAAATTGTCAATTCCATTACATACTATATGCCAAATAAATCCTCATAAAGTATTACCGAGTTAATCGGTAATAAGTTCTACAGTAAATAACAGAGTTATAAACATCATTCAATGACAATTTCGGCGCCCAACGTAATACTTCATTTTAAAATATGCCTAGTACTAATCAGCTGACTATTATTAGGGTTCTATAGGTTGATTTATATCACTCAAAAAGTCTATATTTACATTTTTATTGTCAATTACTTTAATTGATGACTTTAAATAAATGACGTTCAAGTTTTATTTTCTGCAAAAGCTGTCATTGAAGTTTTAAGGATTATCAGTTCAGATCAATTCGCAAATTATATACTTCATTCATACTTTTTTGATTTAGTGTATTTGTTTCCAAAACAAACCAGATTCTTTTGATTTCTGTTGAAAATGGGGGAGGGTTCGAGAGGGGGTCAACGTAACGTATAATCTCGTCTGCTCCGCCTTTATAAATAATGTATGATATCTACACCGAACCAAAAAAAAAAAAAAAAACGTTGATACCACCAAAATGAAAGACAAAAGTTTGGCCAAGGGTATGAATGAATATGGTTACGAGTTTTATGCTGTCAATATATAAACGTTCGTATATATACATATTTTTTCCTGTACTTTACACTTGCAATATAAGAAAAAAACCTAAGAGATATATTTTTTTTTTTCAAAAAAATGATAAAAACCAAACCCCAAGTGGAAAAAGAAAAACGTTTTTTAAACATCACTAAATACGTCAACAAAAAGTTTTCTTCAGGTGGTGCCTTTCCATTTTGGGGATGAAGATTTGTGGGTTGTTGGGAAAGTTTTCATTATTCTCATGGCCTTCTTTAATCTCGCTTTCCCCACCACCAACATGTACTTGAATCGAGCAAAAAGGAAAAAATTCAAAAACTTTTTTCCTCAATGTTTTTTACACATTGTTCTGAAGAAAAAAAATGTTGTTCTTGAACAAGAACATGAGTCTCTTTTTCCCCGACACAATTTTTGCTGCTAAAATAGAACAATGAAGAGCTACAAAAAACCAACAGAAAACGCTAAATGTTTTCTTTTCCCAGCTCTTCGAGTACACTTCAAACTTAATGGTTGTTCCCAAACAGAGAAAATAACAAAAAAATGTTTATAATTTACGGGAAATTTTTAGTGTTAGCAGCTGTTTTAGAAAACTATTTTAAAATTATTAAATTTGAAATTTTGTCTAAAATAAGCTTAAAAATTAAAAAGTTGATCTAATATCTCAAAAATACCAAAAATTTAAGGAATTTCTTAAAGTAATTTTGATACATGACAATGGAGTGTGATAACTAGTTTTAATATTTAATTTGATGTGTGGCCAGACAGCATTAACACGTTATAATCTCTTTAGCTATACTACCTAGCGTTTACACAGAACAATTAAACTACGAATTCTATTTTAATTCATAACTCTGAAATATATGATGCTAAATAACCTGCGCTATTTGAATAGCTTAGATAATTTGTATTTAAAATATAATAACTTTAAATTACAACCTTAATAAACAATAAATAATTATTATTTTTTCGTCTCTTTACAGAAAAACAACGGTTATCGTTATGTGTGGGTTGTGGTGGGCAAATTCATGATCAATATATCCTGCGTGTAGCTCCCGATCTAGAATGGCATGCAGCGTGCCTCAAATGCCAAGAATGTCGGCAATTCCTTGACGAAAGTTGTACGTGTTTTGTGCGTGATGGCAAAACCTATTGCAAACGCGACTATGTACGGTAAGTGTGTAATCAGCTGATATCATTTATCACCCAAAATGGACCAAGGTCTCTATGTTAATACTTTTTTAAGTTAAAATATTTTCCACAATAGAAAAAGTTCGCATTTTCTGTTTTACTTTAAGGGTTATAAGCTTAAACGATATACAAAAGTTGATGCGTTTTAAGTGATAACTTAGTACAAATATATTTAAAAGCGTTCCATCATCGATTTTAGAGTCCTAGAACAGTCAAAGGTAGTTACACAAAACAGCTGTCAAAATACGGTTATATGAACTAATTAACAAAATAGTTACGTCATGTTCACACTAAAGATAGTTATCATGATGAACATAATAAAACATAAAAAATAAAAAATTTAAAAACTGACATAAACGGCCGGTTATAGCTTTAATTTTTCAACGCTTAAAAAAGAACGTGAAAATGATTATCGAATATTACACACATACAGGTCACATATTTTCACTTCAGTTATATTCACAATTATCCTATTCGATATGTTTGCAAACAAAAATATTAGCAGCACGAAGAGAAAATAAAAACAGGCCAATCATCAATCATTCTATCAACCAGTCATAAGATCTACATTCGTATGTATGTCTGTAAATATATCACACATATATCATATAGTCAAATAAAATTTTGTTTACACAAAATTTAATTTGTATTTGTGCAACAAATTAGTTGTTGTATAGCAACTACTTAAATAAGCAACACTTTATGCCTGAAAAAAAAACCAACAACCAAAATTGGCATATATTCGCTATATTTTGGTTTAATAAATGTTTACATTACAAATTGTGATTGAATAATGAAATAATTTTGTAATTAACATTATGTGAAATCACCATGTGCATTTTATTAGATATTTTGTGAAAATTGGGTTGGTTGAGTGTAGGTGGTAGAATAGAATAAATAAAATAAAGTATAATTTAATTCGAATGTTTACATAGAATGCCAACATCGTGATATAACTATTAAATTGGTATTTAATGTAAACGTAGTCTTACTCTTTATTAAATGTCACTTACAGCTGATTGAAAAAAAAATATTGGCTAGTGTGTTTTCTTATAACTTACATTTTATAGCCAATAGATTTATATCGGTTATAATTCATTTTAATTTTACACAATAGACATTTTAATATTTTTCTCTGTAACATGTCAACAAAAATCAGCTGTTTGCCACCAGATTGCTGCCGTTAGTGTTTTATTGTTTATGACATTTTGTACATGTTTAGATTGCTCGATATTGTGGTGTCGGTGGTTGAGAAGTTGTGACTTTGTTTTCTGTTTAGTACGGGCCATAAAATAAATCAAACAAAACAATATGTAAATATTTAAACAATTCATTAACAACGCAAGCGTTAAAGTAATAAATTAGCACTTTACTCTTGTGTGGTTGATTGATGGTTCAACAAAAACACAAGTAACCAAAATAAAAGTAAAAAAACTAATAAATATTTTGAATTAAAGCCAAAAAAGAGAATAAATAAACACCAAGCAATATAATATATGCAAAAACACAATAGGCAAACAAATTGTCAGTTACTCTTTTACATGCTAATTTTAAATGTATACGAAGTTGAACTTGAAAATGTTGAAAAAATAAATATTTAATTTCATAAATCTAAACAGTTTACATGCTACATGTATTATATAATATTTGAGTGTGTATTTCGATTATTGATTTGATTTTTTCTTTGTTTGCAGATTATTCGGCACCAAATGTGATAAATGTGGCAATTCCTTTAGTAAAAGCGATTTTGTGATGCGGGCCAAAACGAAAATCTTCCACATAGAATGTTTTCGTTGTTCGGCCTGTGCGAGACAATTACTGCCAGGTAAATATCAATTGATTGATTTTTTTTCGTTGATTTTGTATTGTAATTAGTAATATTGTAATAATTGTTTTATTATTGCCATATTTGTAGGTGATGAATTTGCGTTAAGAGATGGTGGCATTTTGTATTGTAAAGATGACCATGATGTATTGGAAAAATCCTCCCAAAGTAGTTTGACCTCATCATCATTGGAAAGCAACAATAACAATAGCTGTAGTAATAACAACAATCATTCAAGTCTTAGCAATAATAATAATCATTCCAGCGAATTGGGTTCAATGTCAGGTGAGTGTTAAATATAAAAATGTTATAAAAAAAAAACAATATTACTTATTATCTTTTGCCGATTCCAACAAATGACAGATGAAAAAATAAAATATCTTCATAAAAACTTGTTTTATTAAAACATTTCAATCCCTATGCAAGAAACTTGCTTCCAAAATTGACTGTACAAAATGTAAAGGAATAAAGGAGGCTGATACTCTGAGAATTCTTTGCAATTTGACATTTACATGACCCATGTTATAATAAAGTCGTCCGATAAGTCCAGATGATTTCGCCCGAGCTATCAAAATGCTTAAACGTACGAAAACGTAAGCAGAAAATTTGACAGTGGGGAATTTTTAAACAAATTTGTCGATAATATTACAATATATATTACACGACCTGTTATATGACCTTGAGTCTATATATTATATGACGATTTACTTAGCATATATATTTTAATGCAGTTTAGCCACATATAAGCACTAGACATCAAAATTTCAAGGCTCATTTACAAATACAGGTAGAAATATAATCACAATTTGCGTTTTTTCGAAAAAAACACCGTCGGCAAAATGTTAACCTGACTTTGACATTGCTATATAATTGACATTTGATAAAGTCAATCACAAACTATTGAAAAATATAAATATATTTCCTCAATGGATTTGTACTAATGACATTTTGTACTAATAAGGGGGTTCAAATGAGAATATATGTCTGAAGAAATGTGTAGGATTATAAACGAGAATTCAGACCTGGCCTGTTATGTTGACTTTGTATGAAATGCCAGTTTATTAAGGAATATTAGAATCAAACATTATTTTTGAACTTCGTTTTCCATTATTCTTTTACAATAGAAAAAACAACAAACTTAATAAACATGCCAAGAAGTCCTCTTATGACTTTCCTTCTAAAAAAAAGAAAAAAAAAATTGTAAAATGAAGGCAATGGAGAAACATCGAATATTACTATATAGGCTTTTACATCTAGCCCCAAACATAAACTAATAGTACGTTTACGTTGTACCGGATTTTTTAACCCAGTGGTTTTAAATTATCAATTCCATTGTATATATGTCAAATAAATCCTCATAAAGTTGGTTAACCCGGTAAAAAGTTCTAATGTAAATGCGGTTTAAGTATTTTTTTCATTTCAAAATTTTATTTCATTTTCAAAAAATAGTAAATGCGAAAAATTCCTAGAACTAATAGTGTTCAACTACAGAGAAAACAAGCCGCACTTTTGTGAAGGTCTATGGCGGTAGGGGGAACAAAAAACAAAAATCGATAACCAAACAACATTCGATAATAATAGTACAAAGTTGTTGGTGTTGCTATGAAGTTGTCAGATATTGCTGCATATGTCACATCATATCAACGACATAATCTAGTTGTTTGACTAGAACAATGACAAAAACAATAACAACAACAACAAAATGAGACTAAAGAAAATATTACGCCAAACATCACAGTAAATGACAGAGTGAAGGTGTTGAAGTAAATACCAGACCAAATGGCACAATAACTAGGTACCAGTCATTCTCCTCTTAGAGTTTTTGCAAATTTAGCACACAAACGTCATTTATTTTATATTGACATATGTGAATTTTCCTCAAATATTTACTCAGTTATTCTCTCCCTCTGTCGCTTATTAGGCAACTTTTTATCTATAATGTCAATCTGAACAAAAAATACAGACAATGCCTAGAGGGGAAAGGGCGGTGGACGCTTCTAGGTAAAAATGAAGGAATCAATGTTCAATGCTTTGACAATTGACATTGTGCGCAGCCGTAGAAGATCTTCAAGACAAACCCAAACGTCAAACGAGTGCAAAGTAAATGTTTAATTGTTGCATTCAAGCGTTTAGCGCTTTGTCGTTGTTAAACAACACAAAAAACATTCGCTCAACAACTTCTTAGAAAATTTCTTCTTTGAAAAAAACAACAACGCGTGATCAACGTCACACTTAAGAAAACATACAGTGATGCCGCCAACAAACTAAGTATGTGTACATTGATGATAATCGATCAATTTGATCAAGCTAGCTCAGAGGTTTTTTAAACTTTAAAAAAATCTACAAAGCGTAAAAGTTGTTGCCTACTTCAAGGGGAAATACACGTAGAAAAAAAATGTTTTCATTTTATGTAATTTTTATCTTACTCCACATTCTATATATTATTCATAATAACGTTTACACCCGTTATTATGAATAATCTGTAACGTTTACACCCTCTTTAACATGATTTACATCACAATCAGCTGATGGATGTTGATTTTCTCACAATTTCTCTTACTGTACCTGTACAAATAAATAGCAACACGATATTTTTTATTTGACATGTGATTCTCTATGTTTTATTATTTGATGTTCAATTACAAAATTGTTGTGTTTGTAAATCTATCGAAATTATCCGATGTTAAACATTTTATGGCGGCAAGATGAATGTCACGGGTAATGAAGCCTCTGGCAATCTCAGCAAATGTTAGAATTGTTAAATGCAAATTTAAAAAAAAAAATACAACAACTATCAAAGCGCCCATCATTTATGCAACAATGTATCTTGTATATTTCACTTTGATCTTTTCTATCGTTCACCAACTTCAATCATACCGCAAATTAGATAACAGCATGTAATTAGGTTGTGAAACACGTCTTAATTATCAATTATCGATATTTACATTTTATAACAATATGATTGATATCGAAAAAAGAGATAAAATAGAAACACGAGGATTTCAATCTTTAACTTTTTTTGTCTAGAGATTCATATTAAGAAAATTGAAAACGTTTTTGAAAAAAATGTTTTAATTTGTTTGGTTGAAAATATAGTTTCAAGTTCCATCAGCTGTTTTCATTGCAAGTTCAGCTGAAGTTTACACAGGACAATTTATTCATTCAGTATTTGCCTAAAACGGCATATACATTAGAACTTTTTACCGGGTTAACCTACTTCATGAGGATTTATTTGACATATATGCAAAGGAATTGACAATTGCAACCTACTGGGTTAACGAAATCCGGTTAAATGTAAACGTACTATAAAGTTAGGCATAGGTAGAGAAATTAAATTGGAATAACCTTACGAAACTCCAATTCATACTGACTCTACTTTTGTTATAATAAATGCTTTTTATGGACCTAATGGACAATAATATAGGCAACTGTAACATCTGCCTTGGCCGATTATGGGTAATAATTTGACTTCTTAGTCTTTAAACACACTCATGGTTCTTATACGTCAAAACAGTTGTCACATACGGTGAACAAAAGGATTCTTTCAAACAAAAACATGAATGATTTTTTTCTTTCTTTCAAAATTTTGACATAAAAGACAATATCATTTATTGTCATATTATTGTGACACAGGCAATATGAAGGAGAAAAAAGTGACATCTTTAATAATCACAAAGAAAAACAAAAAATCATCCCTACATGGAAACGAAGTTAATTATATTGTTCTCACTGCTCTCCTCAGTAGTAAGCATATGTTTGCCAACAATGTCATACAATGTTGTTCGGCTCAAAAACAATGACCTTTGACACGAGCCTTCATGTTGTATACTTTTGATTTTCAATTCTTTTCTTTTACCCTAAACAAGGAATTCTTGAGTGAATCAAACAAAAAACTAGTATTCCAACTTGTTCCAAAACAATTGATCTTTTGCGATCACATTCAGACACAATGTCAGACAAAGGGAATTTCCTTTGATGTTCTTTTTCGGCTGGCTAAGAAACTAAGAATCGAAGGCATTTTCCATCTTGGCGTCTGCGAATTCGATAAAAAAAAACCATCAATTTATCAACATGTGTTGATATAACCAACCAACGGAATTTTCGAATTGCCATTCTCGATCGGCTACTCAAAACAAAAGTTTCCACATTTTTGGCAAATACAAAAAATTATAATTTTAGATATTGATTGATTTACCCTTGAATTTTGAATTGATGTTCTGTTCTGTTATTTTCTGATTGTTGGAATTGCAATGAAACGTATTCGATTAAAAGCCACAGCATGATTAAAATGTAGATTTTTTTGGTTTTTGATTCTTTGTAGACTCTGGCAGTGAATCTGGCTCACATAAAAGTATTAGGGATAAACGGCCTTCGGGACCATCGGATGGAAAACCAACGAGAGTAAGAACGGTGCTCAATGAAAAACAATTGCATACATTAAGGTAAGCATTAAATTGATGAATGATTTTCAATATTTGAGTATATTTAATTTATTGTGCAATTTTTACACCTATTACAGAACCTGCTATAATGCTAATCCGCGACCTGATGCGCTCATGAAAGAGCAACTGGTAGAAATGACAGGATTATCACCGCGCGTTATACGTGTGTGGTTTCAAAATAAACGCTGTAAAGACAAAAAGAAAACCATACAAATGAAATTGCAAATGCAACAAGAAAAGGTAAGTGTAAAGATTTTGGAACTGATTTTAGGACCACTTTATTAACAAATTTTGAATGATAATCATAACCACACTTTGTGGTGAATTTTGTTTTCCATCTGTTATTCTTTAACATTATCTAAAAAAATATTATTCCCATTTTATTACAGGAGGGTCGTAAATTGGGCTATGGAGCAATGCAGGGAATACCGATGATTGCCAGTTCACCCGTGAGACACGATTCACCACTTAATCTGCAGGGTATCGATGTACAGACATATCAACCACCATGGAAAGCCTTGTCAGATTTTGCACTACACGCTGATTTGGATAGTAATGGTGCCATAAATACCCATACACCAGCATTTCAACAACTAGTCAATCAGGTAGGTTTCCCTAAGATGTTCAATTCCACGAAAATATGTCAAATATAATACGATAGAAGAGAAGATTTGATATACATATGTAAACGTATTATCAGCTGATGCAAATCATAGGATTTACTCAGCAACTGTTTCTTAGAGAGTAAAAAATTTGTTCTAAAACAAAATATTGCGTAAAGGCTGTCTAAGATCTGATTACATATACGAAGACTGTCATTAGGTTCGTTCGTTTGCTCATATGTAAACGTAGTATCAGCTGATGCAAATCATAAGATTTACACAGCAACTGCTCTTAGAGAGTAAACAATTTGTTCTAAAACAAAATATTGCGTAAAGGCTGTCTAACATCTGATTACATACATGAAGACTGTCATTAGGTTCGTTCGTTTGCTCATATGTAAACGTAGTATCAGCTGATGCAAATCATAAGATTTTCTCAGCAACTGCTCTTAGAGAGTAAACAATTTGTTCTAAAACAAAATATTGCGTAAAGGCTGTCTAACATCTGATTACATACATGAAGACTGTCATTAGGTTCGTTCGTTTGTTCAATAATTACATAAATAATTACAAAATATTCCTCGCTTACCCAAAAGTCCAGTAAAAGAGAGTGAATTGAGAGCAGATTTGAGAGTTGTGTATTTGTAAATTCTTACAAAGAAAATTTTGCTCCGTAAGAATTTTCTTGCACTATCAGCTGATATTTAATCAGCTGTTTTCTTATGTTATGTAAACAAAATTGTTCTCAAGCAAATTGATTGTTTTGTGAATTTTATTTTGAATTTTGTATCATTAAGCATTAAAATGAATGAAAAGAACGCAAGTATTTATATACAACATTAATTTTCTCTCTTGAGAACGAACAATTCACATTTACTCTCTGCAAATTCTTACTGAGTAAATGTTACTGGAAGAGTTCCTGTACACAAATTCAACACTTTTGAAATATTTAAAGAGAAAATCAAAAACAATTTCTTTCACATTATTGAAAACAGCTCAGCTTTGCTCTCTCATTTGCTTCTCTCAGCTGATCGAATACCAAATGTTGCTCTATTGTGTAAAATTGAAATGACTCTTGAATATTATAGTACGTTTACATTTAACCGGATTTCGTTAACCCAGTGGGTTTCAATCGTCAATTCCTTTGTATATACGTCAAATAAATCCTCATAAAGTAGGTTAACCCGGTAAAATTTTCTAATGTATATGTCGCTTTACATTGCATTGGATTTAGTTAGCCCAGTGGGTTTCAGTTGTCAATTCCATTGTCTATTTGTCAAATACATCCTCATAAAGTAGGTTAACCCTGCAAAAAGTTCTAATGTAAATGCCCTTTTAGTTTTACAATAAATTTCCCCATTTGCCCCCATTTTCTAATTCAATTTCATTTCCTTCCCTTTGCAGATGCATGGTTATGATCTAAATGGCATGCCACCATTACAACCCCACCAACAAGGACCACATCCGCAAATACCGGGTCAACAAATGAACGGTCCACCCGGTGGCAGTATGGACTCAGGAATTACCTCACATCATCATCCGGACAGTACAGATTCCTATGTCACCTATTTGGAGAGCGATGATAGTATGCCTGGCAGTCCGTAGATAATCGAATGCAAACGTATCTAATTTGCTTCTTTTGTTGCTTCACAAACAGAAAAACTAACGTTGACGCCATCCTCAACAACATCATCATCCTGTTCCTCAGCATCCTATTCTGTTGCTGGCAATGCAGGTATCTCTCAAACAGTACAATACAACAACAACAACGCAGGACCATCATCAGCATCATCCATATCATCACCACCGACTTCTTCATCAACGGCTTTTGGATCACATGCAAATGCCAGCAGTAGCAGCAACAATGGAGGTGGCGGAGGACATATGCCATCGGCTACGGAACAATTGATGCAGATGCTGCAAAAAGTCACAGGATCACCCACATCAGCACCGACAGCGTCATCGTCGTCATCATCTGGATCTCGTTCAATGGGAATTTTATGAAATCTTCAAAGCTTTGAATGGTGATGGTTTAGACCACCGATTATGGAGTTTTAAAATGGCTTAAAACGGGCTTGTGCAATTTATGACTTCTATCACCACAAAGCTCCAACAGACGAGCTTTAGGCGATGCGTAACATAAGAACTTATTAGGGACTCATTAAAACTAACACTAGGGCAGAAATATTTGAAGTATAACCAAAATCTGCATTCAGATTAAATGATTTGAATAAATCGGAAAACACAGAGTTGAAGCCACAATTTTGTTCTCTTTTTTTTGCATCAATCCCAATCAGAACTATTACAATAGCCCCCATAATATTGACCCATATATCTACTGAAATCCCAGAGAAAATATCTGCAACATCTTTAAGCCCTTTTAGCCCTTGTGTTAGAATCCAAAAGTATTGCTTTTTTTATTTATAAATAAATTGTCAAAAATTAAGAAAAGCTCGTCAAAAATAAAAGTATTCAATATTTTCTTAAATTCAAACTTCAAAAAGAATACAAATACAAAAAAAAACAAGAACAACAAAATGCTCACTCACTTTTAAAGTTATTTCGTTTTAAAAAGCAAACAAAAAAGTAAATAATTGTTTATTATTTCTTTGTAAATTAATTCACATTTGTTATTGTAACAATTACAACAATTAATTGGTAATGTAAATATTAAAAACTGCATAATTTTGTTTATTTTTTTCTCTTTTTCAATATTTTGTTGACATTTTGTTCTTCGTTTTTTTTTCTTTAATTCTAATTTCTGAAATGGCAAGCAGATCCATGTAAAATCCCGCCAAAAAATATCGCAACATTTGCCATTGACTATTTTGAGGGGATTTCACATTCACAAATCATTAGACAACAACAACAACTCTGCAAGTAAAATATTAATTGTAAAATAGTATTATATTATTATAAATAAATAAACCTCGTTTCCTCTCATCTCTCTCCCTCTCTTTGACTTCGTTTTTTATTAGTTATTCAAATTTATATTTTTTCGATTGATTTATTTTAGGCATAATCAATACCAATACATTTATAAAATAACAAACAAACGCATATAGTACATAAATATTTAATAATTAGTCTTCTAAGTAAATATGTATTAACAAAAAAATGTTTATATATATACATACGTACTTATAGAGTTATGTAAAAAATGAATCACAACAACCACAACAAAAAAATAATTGTATTTTTAACTTTAATTTTAGTATTCATAGAAAATGTTTGAAAATTAAAGCAAAAAATAAACAAAAAATTATAATAACAGGATAACAAGTGTGTATTTTGATTTGCTAACAGTGTAATAAATGGGGTTCACTTCAATTAAACTTATCTTTATTTAAAAACCAAACCAAATTTTAAAGAACACAAAACAAAATGGAGTTTTCTTTGTAAGCTATTTGCTAGAGAAATTTGCCTGAGTACAAATGGTGTAACTAGGAATACCAATTTCTGATTAGCTGTTGAATTGAATTTGAAGTTTCTTACATACTTACTTAGCCGGCTTGTTACAGAACAGTTGTTCCATAAGCCGAGCTTAAAAAAGATTTCCAAGCGCATCGGTCTTGTGCGCACCTCCCCCAATTTGAAAGACCACGTTCCAAGATGTTGTTTTCCACTTGGTCTTTCCATCTAATTCGTGGCCTTCCCCTTCTACGGAACCATCAGTAGGCGCGCCTTTATATGCCTTTTGAGCTGGGACATTCTCATTCATTCGCACAACATGGCCTAGCCACCGTAGTCGCTGCTGCTCAATACGACTGACTATGGCCATGTCCGCGTATAAATGTTAAAGCTCTTGGTTCATTAGGCGCCGACATTTTTCTTTCAAACACCCCAAGAGCTGCCTCATCTGCTTGCGCAAGTACCCATGCTTCAGATCCATATAACAGCACGGGTAGTATCAGCGTCTTGTAAAGTGTGATTTTGGTCTGGCGGCAGGTGGCCTTGTTTCTAAACTGCTTACTTAGACCATAGTAGCATCTATTGATGTCATTCGTTTTATTTATGGCGGTATAAAATCTTTAACTACCTCGAAGCTGTAGTTCTCAAGTTCCACAGTTGGTCCGAGTCTACTGGACATCATACTGTTCACCTTTGCGTCTCGTATGACCTTTTCCAGCAAGATGCTAAAAAGATCACAAGACAAGCTGCCACCTTGTCTGAATTGTCGTTCGGCATTGAAGGACTCCGATAGGTCCTTTGCGACTTTAACTGCTGACCTTGTGCAACTTAAAGTTATCCCGCATATCCGTATTAATTTTACAGGAACGGATAGGGCTGTCGAATGCGGCTTTATAGTCGACGAATAGGTGGTATGTGTCGATGTGTTTTCGTGGGTCTTTTCCAGGATTTGGCGCAGAGTGAAAATCTGGTCAATGGTGGATTTGCCAGGTCTGAAGCCGCATTGGTATGGTCCAATAGTGTCATTGACCATTGGGATCAATCGTTCACACAGCACACTGAATATCACTTTATATGGGATGGGAAGAAGACTAATTCCTCTATAGTTGGCACATATCGTCTTGTCTCCTTTTTTGGGCACGGGACACAGGATGCTGAGGTTCCAATCAATGGGCATGCATTCCTCTAGCCAAATTGTACTAATCAGCTGGTGCATGCTCCTGACCAGAATCTGACCACCAGTCTTGAATAGTTCGGCTGGTAACCCATAAGCTCCTGCTGCTTTATTGTTCTTTAGCCGATTAATTGTTTTTCTGACCTCATATTGGCTAGGTGGTATACACTCTATACCATCATCTCTTATGGTTCTGGGGTATCTTCTCCACCGCCACTATTTGATACCCGAAGCTTTTCAAAATGTTCCTTCCTTCCTGTCTGTATCTGTCACCAGGTTTCCTTCTTCATCTCTACAGGAGGATGTGCCTGCACCAAAACCTTCGATTTGGTGTTTTACTCGTTGGTAAAATATGCGGATTTCATTCTGACTCCTGTACATCTCGATTTGCTCACGCTCACGTTTTTCTTGTTCTTTCTTCTTTTTTTCTGAAAACACGTTTCTTCTCTCTCCTTTTCTCCTGATAATTCTCCATCACGTTACGTGTTGCTACTGTCTGCAGGGTTGCCCTATACGCTGCATTTTTCACATCAGTAGCATTACGACACTCCTGATCGAACCATGGGTTTCTTGGTGGTGGTTTTTGGTACCCAAGTGTTGCTTTTGCTGCAGTTTGTAGGGAGTGGTCAATTCTTTGCCATTGTGCTTCTATACTATTATCGGGACAAGAAGTGTTTTCTTCAAGCAGATGGGTAAGTTGATCGGAGTAGACCTGTTGTGTTCGCAGCTTTTCGAGGTCGACTTTCCATGTTGTGTTAGATCGCACCTTTGCTACAACATTAAGACGAGTGCGAACCTTGGCTGCTACAAGGTAGTCTATCTATCACAACATGATCAATTTGATTTCTCGTTGTTTGATCTGGAGAAATCCAGGTGCCCTTGTGCTAATTACCATGTTTTTGCTACCTCGAAGTCAATCAACTTCATGCCGTTGTCGGATGTTTCTTCATGAAGGCTGAATTGTCCGATTTTTGCATTAAAATCTCCTAGCAGAATTTTAATTTCATGGCCAGGGCGATCATATGATGTTTCTAGGCGCTCGTAAAATATGTCTTTGGTCTGCTCATCTTTACCTTCGGTCGGAGCATGGGCGCAAATAAGACTGATGTAGATGAACTTTGCTTTTATGCGGATTATAGCAATTCGCTTATCTACTGGAGTGAATCTGGAGACAAGGTCATTTAATCTCCTGTTGACCATAAATCCGCAGCCAAATTCGTGTCTCGTTCGTAATCATCTGATTTACTTACGCCTGTCCCTTTCCATCGCATTTCCTATAAGGCAATAATATCGGCTTTGTACTTCTTGAGTACATCCGCCAATGCGAGAACTGCGCCTGTTCTGTGCAATATGCGAATAGTACTGGAACAGGCTATATAAAAACCAGTGAGCGGAGCAGTATAGTCGGACGGGGCCGACCATACGACACCCTACACAACTTCCATGAAAATCTAACTTTCTGTTGTTCTATATTCTGAGATTGGGCAATATTTCGCGATATTTGCACACTTTTGACTGGCTAGTGGTCAGCAAATGTTATTATTAAACAGTACAGCCCCTCTACATACTTGTCCAGATTCCCTTCACCGTGGGTTGTGTTGTGATGTTCGGCTTTCGACTCGAAAAGTACAAATAATTAAGTTTTCGGTCCACTTCATCCGAAAAATTATTATCTGATCATCACCTAACATTTTAGGCGTTCTCCTTGACCATAACTGGAACCTCATGGAACATTTCAAAGCGATCCGCGCTATATTTCCGGCCTTCAGTGTGGTAATAGGTTATTAAACAATATCAGAATACGTAAGCACCTGTAAATATTTAAGTGTAACTCCCGCATCCGAGTACCCACGACAATATAATTGGTATCAATTAAAAGATCATCCACTCCTCTTGGATATACTATCAACTTCTCGGGTCTACGTTCTTCAGTGGTAAATATATATAAGTTATAGAATACAAATGTTGTCATTTTTCACACAAAAGTTAGGGTCCATTTGACCCGCTAAATATTGACCGCTCTTTATCAAAACAGGCATGCTTATTCTCTGGCCCCATCCGATTCTCCATGCAAAAATTCGCTGTGTTTGGGCCATAATTGCGGCCTCTGGAGCGACCAGAAAAACCGACAAAAATAAAGTTTTTGGTCCATTTCATCCCCTAAATATTAACCGATCTTTTCCAA